AAAGATGCTCTCTTCATTTTTATAGGTTTAAGTTACTTGTACAAAATTAAAAACTAATTTTAAAAGAGGCTTTCACACTTATGCCTAATTTCAAAGCCCATTTTTAAATGATTCTGCTGCCTACAAATGACAGCCCAAATGAATCGTTTTCATTAGTCTCCTCTTTCTACTACTTAGCTCAAATTGTCTGTATTATGGCAGTAACTAGCTATTATCATCATTTAATTATCTCTCCCAATAGCTTATGAGAATTCTTAGGAGCAAGCACATGGAATTCATCTTTGTATCCCTAGCGCCTACTGCTGTGTTTGGAATGTAGTAGGGCTTAATAAATATTTGTGGAGTGAATGAATAATAATCACTATCATTGATGGAGTGACTGTTTTATTTTAGCACCACAGTAGGGAGCTGATGTGAATTTTATAACTCGATCTTCATGACACTATTGTAAGGTAGACATAAACATTCTAAAATCACAAATAAAAGAAATAGGCTGAAGGAGTTTATAAACAACTCACTGCTAATCAGGGATTAAACTCAGGTCAACAAAATTCCAATGTCTGACATTCCGACTCTAGCTAGCTACCTCATTATATTCACTAATGTTAATGAAAAAAATACATAAATAAATGGATTAGGAAAAAGTCTAAGCATTTTATTTATTTTTGGATCTTTAGAAACATTGAAATCTTTATAAGAAAAAGTGCAGTATTTACTTGCAGAAAATTAAATGGAAATATTTTTGTATCTAAAATTTTGTGCAGATAACAAGAAGAGAAGATTTGATATCATAATCTGAAGAAATTAAACAGTTCCTATCTCTTTCAGAGAAAAACCAGAGATGACAATAGTTAAAATGGTAAAGACAGATTTTGTTTGGGAACTATTGTAATAACAGAAGAGCAACTTTCATATAGAACTTGTTCCAATTCTGAATACAGCACAGAGCAGTGAGACTTTATAGGCAAGGAGAAGAGTGAGGGTCAGTGGATGGAAAATTACAAAAAGGAAACATAAAGGTATGGGGGGTGCAGATTCTGGTTAAATCAAACCACAGAATTCTTGCTGAAGTAAGGTCAGAGTGATCAGATGTCACCTGGGATGAAGAATTTGATCAGATTTTCAGATAATCAGGTATCAAGTGTGAGGGATTCTCTAAACTGGCTTTAAGATTCTTGCTCTAACTAGAAAATGCAAGGTTGAACAGCATGTAGAGGATTTAAAGGAGTCTGAGTACACTTAGGCGGAAGAGGGTGTTTTGTTATCACAGGGTGGGAAACTGGTTATTTCCATAATTATCTAATCATTCTCTAGAATTGCTAGGTATGGGATATGACATTAATGTTATTCACAACCATTTCTGTTACAGACAGAATTTGGGTTTTAGCTTGATTTCTCTGTTTCATGTTCTATGAATAGGTGTTTTTACTGCTTAATTGATTGCTGATGAAGAATTCTGCTTGTGTTCCAGACTTTGTTTTGCATGGTGAGATCATCTGTATGGATAATATTCTAATGCTAAGTTCAGTTTCTTACTTAGTTTTTCCTAGAGCTGTGCATTATTGGTTCCTCCTCTGAATATAGAAAATAAAATATTACCTACATTTCTGAGGCTGATAGGCAGAAGCCGTCATTTTCGTCTTTAATTTCTGATGAAAATGAACAAATAGAAGTAAAATAATTTGCTAGGCCTCATACAAAAAGTCATTGTTGATTCTACACGTACTTCCTTGGCATGCGCTTGCTTGGTTTGGTATTGGTTGAAATTGTTTCAACTGGATACCACCCAAGAGGCTGTTCTCAGAGAGCTAGAAGCTATTTGAAGATCCTGGAAATATGAGCTTTTCATAAGGTTTTTGCTGGTGTGATTATCTTTTTTTTCCCAGAGAAAGGATCATCTCCTAAGCCTTCTTCATGTATGTACTTTGCCATGATAAAGTCTTTATTTCTTTAATTCAGTAGTAAAGAATAAGATGAAATTAAATGCATGTATTTCCCCAGCTGGTTTCTAATATTATAAACTATGTCAATATAGAGCATAAATGAGCTGTATTCATTTTTAAAAAATGTATTCTCTTATTATTGAGAAATTTCATTAGGGGTTGGCAATCAAAGGGTGTCAAAAATCCCAGAGTGTTGCTGTTCATTGGGATTAGAGTCAGTCATACAAGATAGAAAAAGTTCCAGAGAGTGGCTGTTTAACAATTCATATACACATAGTCAACAATTCTGTACTGTGTCTTTAAAATTTTGTAAGAGAGCACATTTTCTGTTTTGTGTGTGTCTTTGTATGTGTGCATGTATGTTTGTGTAACTACAATACAACAAACAAAACAAAACAACTTAAAGTTGTAACTGGCTACCAGAAGAAATTCAAGCACATTTGCTTGAGGGGGTATTACCTGTTCCATTACTTGGTTCTATTACTTGTTTCCATTTGTATGCTGAAGAGTTAGAGAAATAAAATGATTATCCACTTAATTAAACTTCAGCAAGTTGTTTTTGTTAACAGTGATGATTGATGAGGATTTGTCAGTGATACTCTGTGATCTTGGGAGCAGGAGTCACCATGTAAACAACACTGTGCTAACAAAAGGGGCCTATTCACATGGCTGGATCTTGCTCTACATGCCTTCCTGATTTAGGGTCAAAGTGCTCAACGGTGCCTGTGACATTAAGTATTGGATTTCATGAATTCTGGGTTGAATAAATGAAATAGATTTTGTTCATTTATTTTCCTCCAGGAAAACATTTAAAATGTATTTGAAAGGATGAAATGTTTTCATGATACAAGCTGGAAAATTAGAGAAAGTTTAGGGTTAATTTATTTACATTGAATTATTTCCATGTGTTTAACCTTATTACCTCTTATACCAGTCCAATTATTCACAAAACTTTTCTCAATACCATAAAAGCATTTTAAAACAAGTCTTCAAGGTATGGTGACAAAACCTGTTCTAGATGGTAAGGTAGTAACATAATTTATGAAAGGAATTACAAAATTCCCTATGTGAGGATTTTCTGGGCACCAAATCCAGCTTCTGTGCCCCCTAGCTACAATATGAAAAATAGATATTTAGAATAGTCATGGCTTTAGCCATTTAAAAAAGAGAAGACAACTTTGACATGGAAAAGGAATAAATTCTCTCATTGTTTGATAGAGTGACTAAATTGGGTTCAAATATTGTCAAGAAGGGATAGAAGGCAAAAAATCAGGGAAGAGAGATTAGATTCTAAATGCACAAGAAGAGATGGGGAAAGTTGACAGGCTTCTGATTAAACCATTTTTGGTATATGATTAAATCACATCAGTTTCTACTCTGATGAAAATTATCCCTTTCTATCAGTTTTTTTCAATACCAGTGTTGCATTACATTAAGGTAATGCAAAATTTGAAGTTTTTTTGTGATTTTTGAAATTTCAGCATGGTTTCATTTTTATGACCTAGAGAATTTCTATAATTTTCATCTATAACCTATGTTTGTTTTATTTTACCATTTCCAAACCAAACAAGCTGTAATACATCATACACTGATTTTATTTCACTGTTTTATTTAAATTTTATTTTCCTAATAAAAGTATAAGTTCCTAGGGATCTGGGTCCAAGTGCCTTCCCCAAAGACTTAGACTTCTCCAACTAGTTTATGTTCTCCATAGGACATCTTTCCTGTCTTGTTCACTGCTAAATTCCAGTGCTTTAATCTGGAGGGTATGAGAAGAGAGAGCTAAGCTTGTACATAATTGCTTAGTGGTGATTGTTTTAATGTGTATATTTGGGATTCAGCAAATTTAGAGAGGGACAGCACTTGTTAAAGTTAGTACCATTCAGAATCACTGATTAGATGAATATCATTTAAAGGATATTTAATATATTAATGCTGGGGATACTGTTAAGATATTGTACTTGTATCTTGAAAACAATTGCTAGAATAAATATTATCAAAGTAAAATATTTTCCTTTTGGTGCAAAATATTGTCCTTCTTTCTAGACACCAAATAAATAAAATCTTTGAGAAGAAGTTATTACAAACTAATAGAATTTAAGTCCTCTTCCTTTATTACATATAAAAATATATGCCTAGCTGGTGGTGATGGTGCATGCCTGTAAACCCAGCTACTCTGCAGGCTCAGGCAGCAAAATCATAAAGGCAGGTTAGGGAGATCTTGTCTCAAAATAAGAAATAAAAAGGGCTGAGGATGTAGCTATGTGGTAGAGTACCCCTGGATTCAATCCCTAGTCCTGAAAAACAATCTGTGCCTATATATTATGTATACATGTAGATATCTATTACATATATATCATATGTATAATGTTATTCATATGTATATCTCTCACACACACACCCTTCCATTTATTTTTCATCTCTATTATACTTTACATCTTCAATTGGAATTGTAGGTTTCTTTCTCAGATTGTAGAATTATTTGTTATTTTTGCTGAGGCTATTTCTATGATTAAAATTCCTTGTCTCCCCAGGTTTCTGTGAATCAACAGTGCCCCAAAAAGCATTTCTCTTCCTGAGACACCAGGGAGGTCTTGAAATGCAAAGAACTTGAGGAGGAAGCCTGGCCAAGTAAAGATTTGTGAGCCTTTGTGTGCTTGCTGAAGCAGATTTTTGGCACTAAACAAACCAAAGTGTTTGTATTATTAAAAGCAGCACTTTTCAAGTGAGTCCAGGGAGATCACTTTGGTCCATTTGTTTTGGCTAAAGAAGAGAAAAGCTATAATTTAACCACATAGTCATTATTTGCAAGGGGATGATAATGAATTATGCAAATAAATAGTGATTATGGTTAAAGTAATTTTTTCAATAGAAATTTAAAACTGTATCTTCTCTAATCCCATTATTTACTAGATCTGAATCAAAAACTTCCTAGATATTTGTTTAATACAGTAGATTCCATATATGTTGTTCAAATTCAATGCTTTTTCAAAAGAATGATGATATGATTTTGTCAGTAATTTAATAGGTTTCTGTTTTCTTATAAAGATAGAACTGAGACATATCAAGATAAAACATAAATATCTTGGAATAATCAGAAGAGCAACATGGGAGAAACTGAGAAAAGGATTGAAACCCACAGAATAAAATGTCTTTCCAAAGTGAAGGTATGGATTTTTTTGGCATATATATATATGTATATATACATATACATATATGTATATATATGTGTATATATATACATACATATATGTATATATATGTGTGTGTATATATATATATACATACATACATACATATGTAAAGTATTTTTCTTAAACTTAGTCCTTGTAAAACTGCTTATATCTACATGAGATGATCTAACATTAATGTCATATTGCGTTATCTATTGATAATTTCTTGCTTTAAAGAAGTTGGTTTTGTAACCAAGAGTATGTCTAAATAAAATTACTGATATTGGCAATTTAATCAGGAATGATTTTGAGGGACTTTAATAAATAAGGACAGGATTTTAAAAACTTTGAGGCACACATTATATTTTTCCAGGAATTATTTTCTGGAATAAGACACGAATACTAATATAATGCTCACCTTTCAGGGGTTTCTCTCCCAGAGAAGTATGTGGGGTTAGTATTAGAAAATAGTTCATTGGACAGAAATGCTTTGTTAGTATGCTAAGATTACTTCACAATGACCCAGTAAAACAAATGTTTTCTTCAAGCTTTGGCATTATAACAATCATTGTCTACAAGAAAAATACTGGTTTTGTTAGTTGTTCTGATGGTTTTGACTATTTTAGAGCAAATTCTTTCTTTTAAGCTCCAAAAGTGTCTTATATTCATTATATTTATTTTCAACCTGGGGATTTGAGCATTTGTCTTAATTCCACAGCTAGTGCCTGTTGAGAGTGGTTTCCTAAGAAACTGGCACTCATTTTCCTATCAAAAGCTCATTTTCCCATTACACATGTGTGGGTCAAATCTGTGTATGTACACAACAGTGGAAAGTTATAATATAGATCTAGAAAACTACTTTTGCCTGAAATGCCATGTTAACTATAAAAAATCCTCTTAAAGTATTCTTCAATTCTCATGATCTTCTGTAATTGCCTAGTTAAAAATAAGAATCTAAGTCTGAATTCTCTAGGTTCCTATCTGTGTCCAGATACTATTTTCTGAATAACATTGTGTGACTTATTTAACCTCTTTGTGCTTAATTTTTCACATCTGAAAAGTATAATAACAATCATCCTATTTTGTAGGAGTTTTTTTAGATGCTAGGAAAAATTATGAATATTTCAAATATTTATTATTACTAGCATTTGTGCAGAAAAGTTGTCAGGCATATTTATAAACAATAGGTCTTAAATTTTATTTTTTATTACTTTGGAGTTTAGCAAGATTATATACTGATGTGAATGTTATGGCAAGATATTGCAACCACAAGTTTAGCAAGTAAAAATGAGAGGCAACTTCTTAATAATCCATTGGACTTCTCTACTTTTTTGAATTTTGAAATATTCTCATTAAGCAAAATTCTTTAGGAAGCATCAGAGGACTGTCTTTAACAAATTTGCTTCAAACTTTAGAACATAATTGTTAAAAGTTAGTAGGAATATATATATATATATGAACTAGCTGTGTATACAGGTTAACATTAGACTTAGAATGCCACTACCACTGGCTTATTTCACTCTGTGAATAGAATCAATTTAGTGAATTCATTTAATAGTTTTGAGGAAAGAACACTGGGATCATTATCCTTCTAGTTTTCTTTCTTAAAATGGTAAGTAGAAAAAAATATTTTCCCAAGTCAGATTTGTACTTGATTTGGTAAAACCTTGATTTTCTATATGAGACCTGAATTATAAAGTCATGTGAAAGTTGTATAGTCTCAGTAATATGATCTGCAAAGGCTTATAGTGAGAAGAGAGAAGTTCCATGAATGATATTTAATATTAAAACTTAAATAGCTGGAGACATAGCTACAGTATTTTGCAGCTATATAATAGTTGCAGTTTATGCTATGCTTGATATTAAAATTTCCCAGGTCTTTTTCATAAAAATTTCTATTCAGATTTCAGTAGACTAATGGGTACAGATAACCTTTGGCTTAGGTGTATGCTGTGATCTGAATGTCTGTGATCCTTAAATTCATATGCTGAGATCCCACCCCCAAGGTGATAATGCTAAGAAGTAAGGCCTTCAGGAGATAATTAAGTCACAGGGGTGGAACCCTAATGAGTGAAATCAGGCCACTTTAAAAAGAGAACTTCAAGGGACCTCTTGTTCCTTCTACCATGTAAAGACATAATGAAAAGACAGCTGTCCTTCAATCAGTAAGTGGGTTTACCAGACATCAGACTTTCAAGTGCCTTGATCTTGGAATTCCTAGCCTCTGTATTTCTGTGAGAAATAAAGTTTTAGAGTTCATAAGCCACCCAGTTTATGGTATTTTGTTATTACACCTGAAATGGATTAAGACAATGTGTTTGACTCCATTAGATTTCGTTTTATTTTTAGTTCATACTGTCTGTTTATTCAGGTTGTTTTTGATCTGTCATTAATTCAATAAACATGTCTTAGGTGCTTACACTAGCCACTTACTAGGCATAAATTACACAAAAGCAAGTAAAATGTGGCTCTTATTTCTGAATTATTCACAGTACAATGAGGGAAGAATCCAAACACATAGATAAAATGGACTGTGATAGGGGCTGTAATAGAGGTAGGCATACAATTGGAGCACTGGGAATAATATTTCTTGGGAGAACATGCATGGCAGAAAGAGTAGAAAATACAAACTAAAGTTTGAATGTGTTAGCCAAAGAGAAAACTAAGTAGATAGAGTCTATCAGGTAAGCAGAGATTTAGGTATGTGTGGGAGGAGGGAATTTGTGGAAGAAAAGAGAGATTAATGGTAACAAATAATTTGGAGACATCAAATAAGCCAATGATTGGCTATTCAATTGTCTATTGGATTTTGAACTTAGGAAGTTGTTTCTGATTTTTTAATGTAATACCTTCAGAATACGCCAGACTATATAGCAGACTGTAAGCTGAATGAAGGATAAATAATGTATGCAATGAATATATATTATTCTTCTAAACATCTACCATCAGGCATGAGGGAATATATTGTTTTCAAAAGACACAGAAGTATCTTGAATGCATTATTAAGTTACAGGGGGGAGAGAGGCAGTAATAAGTGAGAGGAGAGGGAGCGATAATTAATGACTCATTTCAGAAATGGGAAAAATACACTTAAGAGCATGGATGAAGGGATGTTATTTTATAGGAGAAAGAATACTTATTCTAGAACTAGATGAAAATTATAAGGGATAGGGATAGAGCTAACTTTTCCAATGAAGTTGCTGATAATCATTTTCTGCTCATGGAAGAGTACGTGACTGGGTTAGAGACTGAAAAAAAAGAATAAAGTTGTAAGTAATTTTGAAGGGAATGCATGAGACAGCCCACAAACTATGGGTCGGCTCAAGATTGGGTGTGTGGAGTAAGGATTTTAGGTATTTGAAAATGATGGCTAAAGTAGGTTAAAATGAAGTCTGAGATGGAAATATCATCAGGAAGTAACTTTCAATATGGGCAAGGAAAAAGTCTTATGGCATGTGACTGGAAACCACCATTCAGACTGACATAAATATTCCATATTCTGTTGATTCTGATGCAGGAATTAATCTTCCTAACTATACTAGTACCCAATATGCTTCTGTTTTCAAATCCTTGCTAAAAGATGTCTTTTTTTAATGTAATAAACCTATCAGAAATTTAGTTTTTTACATTTTAAATAAAATTGTACTAGCTCTGTTGATCACAGTGGTTCTAATTTTGAAGTTTTCCTTGATGTTATATGAAAGGCATCAACCCTCCTCCCTACCTCTCTAGGCATGGGGACACATGCCTGTAATCCCAGTAATTAGTGAGGCTAAGGCAGGAAGATGGCAGGTTTGAGGCCAGCCTCGGCAACTTGGTGAGACACTGTCTGAAAATAAGGTAGAAAAGGGCTGGAAATATAGCTCAGTGGTAGAGCACTTCCCTAGTGTGTGTGAGGCCTTGGGTTTGATCCCCAATACTGAAAAGCAAAAAGGCATCAACATCACTGCTTTTTGGAATTAATTATGTAGCAGATATGATTGATTCAGATGTAGAAATTTGTAGTATGCATATTTATTTATCATAATAAGAACCTGTTCAATTTAAAGACATATTTACATATAGTTTGTAATGAAAATATTACTTTGTAAATTTAGTACCAGTAAGTAGAAATCTGACATCATATAATCTGCATGTTACTTTGAATAAGAGACTACAAAAGTTCCTAAATCTGACAGGAGGTTTTGCATAAACCCAGCTGTTGGAGTTATGAGTTGCTGAGAAGAACACTCATACAACACATCAGGAAAAATTAATTTATTTCTCACAGGCAGGTAGTAAAGATAAACAGAAGCCTGGGATCTGTAGTGAGTTGGTCCCTCAACACCCAGAAAACCACCCAGAGAAGATGGAGTCTCATCTCTGCATAGGCCTACCTTTTTTCCACAGCTGAGGGACCCCAAAAGTGCTTGACCTTGGGTTTATATATCATGGGCAACATTTTGTTTGCTGAGCTCAAATATTATAGAACATCCTGTGCTGGGGAAAATGAAGGCATACTTTAGATTGTCCTGGACATTTCCTATTTACTGAGATTGCAATAATTCTGCCCAGAAATTTCAAGCAAGAGAGGAGGAAGAGCTGGATTGGTCAAGGTCATCTGGGAACTTGTCCTCCTGCGGAGAGAACTTGAACAGATTTGCTACATCAACAGTGTATTTGTTTGATTCTGTATTCCTTATTTTCATAAATATATGTATTCATTTGTACCATAGATAGCATTGTAGTGCTTAAGATGTTTGAATCAACCGCTGTGTGTTAGAATAACTAGTTGTTTCTCTGTATGTATAAGGTATGCCTATAAAATAATGAGACTATAACTACCTACAAAATTCAGTGCTGTTAGTCATTTAGTCCCACTTTGAATTTTTAGAGAGAAAACATGTCATGACAGACCAGAAGAACAGACCAGATTTTAAAGTTTCTTGCAAGCTCACGGGTTACTTAAGTTGGAGATAATCTAATGGCAGAGGACTTTTTCCCAATAGATGATGAAAATATAATTTGATAATAAAGTTTTCTTATTTGTTTCTTTCTAGATGTTTTTGTTGGCATTAACTTGTGCATATGTATCCAAAACACTATCTGGATCTTATATGAATTCCATGCTCACACAAATAGAGAGACAATTCAATATCCCGACATCTCTAGTTGGATTTATTAATGGGAGCTTTGAAATTGGTAATGAATTATTTTTGCATTACTTGTGTTTATATTTTGTTTTATCTATTAGCTGTTCTGAATTTTATTCTCTTTATTTACTGTTTTAAGCCATTTAATCTAACTGAATTACATGTTTTCTAAAACTGATTGAATAGCCTGGCTAAACTTATGATATGCTTACAAACAATCCATTTAAATATTACCTCAAATTAATACCTAAATATTGCCACATATCGCACCACTATCTTTTTTATCCTAATAGTTTCTTGGCTATCTGGCATGAGTAACAGAGTATTTATATTTAAATCTATCATTTGACAGCCCTGAGTGAAACAAGGTTGTCATCTTTGAATTTAGCATGTATTGTGGGAGACCAAAGGAATTTGTTTTTCAAAGGAAAACACAAATATTTTTCTTTTCCTTTTATGCCAGGGAGGTTGACAATTCTCCTTTCTATGTTCAGAAAGAAGAAGAAACTAGTTTCCTGTCTCTCTCTGAATTTATTTTAGAAACATCCCATGGGGAAGAATGAAGTTTACTTTTAGGTTCTAATTTTTGGAGTAACTGGGAATTTGTGAGAACAAAGATGAGGGAGGAAAAGATTTCTGTAAACAATGCTACATAGAAATAGTGATGCTACTCCTTTGCAGTTTTATAATAGCTTCTACTTCTTTCAAGATAAAAATTGCCTTTTATAGATTTAACCAAAATGTGAAGAAAAACCAGGGTTGAGGAGAAACAAAACTGAAACCTGGGATGACTGATCAGATCTTACTCTGATTCTCCTGTGTCCTGGCAATAAAGTTAGAACTACCTCAGATCTTACTCTGACTCTCCTAACTCCTGGAAATAGAGTTAGAACTAACTCCTGCATAGATTTCTGGCATAGACTCCTTGCATAGACTCAGCTCACAGGCTAGTGGAGGGCATAGGTGCAAAATAATAATTTTGAATGCAATAAATATTGTTCATAAATGCATGCACGATCCTATAGAAACAGGAAAGGGGACACAACCTCCTTTGGGAAAGACAGGCTTTTGAAAGATGAGTAAAAGTTTTCCAGGTGAAGAAATGGTATTAGGTAAATGTGAAGGGAGTTCCAATAGAAGCAGCAGCACAAGGGTGAAACAGCACAGTAGCTTGTGTGGGGAGAAATCTTCAGCCCTGTATTGTTGGGTAGTCAAGCTTGAGGTGGAAATTGTTAGGATGTGAACCTGGAGAAGTAGGTAGGGTGTATAAGGGTAAGAAATGGGCAGAGACTTGTGGAATTGTTATGGAGTATATTTTTTAGTCTCGGGGTGAGGGAGAGAGTCAATAAAGATCGGAAAGGGTGTTGTTGGTCTTCTTCTGTGCTAAGCACCTCTTTGGTAATCTGTTGCCGTATGACCTCAGAATAATGTAATTTCATAAAACAAAAAACTATAGCAGTAGAAAGGAAGCCAAATATATTGAAATAGCATTATATCAAAATATAAAAATAGCTTTTTAAATAATGGTCCTGGATTTTAACACATTAAACAAGATCTAGCACTAATTTTCAACTAATTATTGGTGTTAATAATATTTGAGTATCTGCAACAACTGTAATTACATGCAAATATCTATATTTCTGTTGGTGACAAAATCATAAGAATTGTTAATGCTATTTTATTTTATTGCCTACTTTTTACCATCAATGGAAAAGCTAATAGAGATTAGTGAAAATAAAGATGCAACTTTTTTTTCTCACTCAAGTTCATGTCATCTGTGATTTCTACCCATGACTAAGAATCCCTGTTTAAAGCCGTGTCGGATTCACATTTTAGAAGGGCAATGCTTATGACTGTGTTGAGATAGATTTGAAGGTAGAAAACCAGATAGAGAATAGAGAGGGTCCAGGAGGCTGATGCTGAAGCCAATGGAAAAGTATCTGGGTCTGAGCCAGGATCATACTTATAGGAATGAAGAGAAGAGAGTGACTTAAAATAATCTTGGAGTTAAATTCCAGAGAACCTGATGACATATAAGAGGCAGGTAAGGGCAAGGGCTTCCCAACTTGGACAGTGGCAAGGATAGTAGTGTCAAGGCTGAGAATACAGGAAGAGGAGCAAGATAATGGTAGTGGCTGTGGAGATGATGATGAGCTTTATTTAGGTGATTTTTTCATGATGGTATCTGTGAGACCTTTGGGTAGTGATCTTTACATTGCAGTTACAAGTCTAAAGCACGGGGAAACTGCCTGGGCTGGAGCTATTGAATAGTGAGTAAGTAGGAGTTTGTTAAGAGTAGAGAGTAGATGAGTCTATTCAGGGAGAGGATGTAAGATAAGTACAATGGACAGGGGTTAGAAATATGGTTCAGTGATAGAATGCTTGCCTGGCATGCAGGAATCCCTGGTTCCATCTCCAGCACTGCAAAGTGAAACAAACAAATGAGTAAGTACAATGGATAAAGAGTGGATCCTGGAATTGTACCAATGTTTAAGCCAGAGATGGGAGAAAAAGAACCCATTAAAGTGTTAAGAGAAAGAATGGTAGGAGAAATAGACAAGACAAAATGGTACTATACATGCCAAGTGAGTAAAAATTTCCAGAAGAAACAATGTATTTCAATTTCATGTGAAAGGATGTGTCAACAGTGTTAAAAACATTAGAAATATTCAATTAGATAAGGATGGAGAACTGTTTCCATGGTTTCATAGTGTTGAAGTAATCAATGACATGTGCCAAGTACTTTTAATTGAATAGTAGATTTAGAAGAAAAAAGTAGGGCTGGGGATGTGGCTCAATGGTAAAAAGTGCTTGCCTAGTACATGTGAGACCCTGAGTTCAATCTCTTAACATGGGAAAAAAAAAAGAAAAGATAAAAAAAGAAGAATAGAAGCTTAAAAGTAGTGGAGACAGCAGTGACTTCAGGAAAGAATGGGAGGTGGGGGGGACATGGAATCTGCAAGTATAGATGAATGTTCTTGGAAGTTTAGAGAGCAACTAGTTAAGACATCTGTAGACTAAAGTTTAGTGAGAGTGAGAGGTTTAAAATATGTGAGGGAGATTTTAATTGTTGGTATGAATTGCTGGAGAAAATGGATGTTGTTCTTGGACTTGGATGGTCAGATGGGCACCAATACCTCTGAAACTGGAGGAAGGCAGTAAGGCCCCAGGGTGGGAAAACCATATACCATAATATTTCATTGCCCTAAATTTCTTAACAAAGTATAAAATATTAACTACTCCTACCACTAGTTGATGTAATAGGTGACTTGAGAATGTTGAAGACCCAAAATAAATTGCTGAGGGAGAAAAACAGAAGTAAGTTATGTGACTTCACTTGAATTCCTCAATGGTTATTATTATAAGCACCTTCTCCATAGCCTTGTCCACACTTCTCTGGTCCTATGTCCTTATGGCAATGATTTTACTGACAGAGCAAGGCCATGTGAAAGATGAATTCAAACTTATGTATGGAAGGAAAGCTCTTCCTTTCTTCATTTACAAAAACATACAGATTTCAGTGAGCTTCCATAGACATTACCTTCAACAAGGATAGAATTAGTACTGGGAATTTTACAGATGTGGAGAGGCCAATGTGGTTATAGATGTGGGGCACTTTCCATGTAAAATAATGTAAACACTACTTCTGTTCTATATGTAATGCAGACTAGAGAGAAACAGAGATTGAAAGAAAAGCCTTCAAAGTATTCAACACTACTTAGAAAATTAACTCCTTGAGGAAAAGATTTTTTGAAATTTTTATAATCCTTAAGCTTATCATAGAGGTTTCCTTTACACATAGTGGAATCAGGGTAAATATTGTTTATTGAATTAAAAATGCATGGTTGTCAGGAACCTACTTACATTTTGGTTCTTTCAGCTTTTATCTCCATACCTGTTTTGTGGAACAGGCATGGAAGGAGAGGCCAGAGGTCACACACAAGCTGTTATCTACTTTTGTGTCCTATTTCCCAAGGTTGGATAATCACAGAGGTTTAAAATTCCCCAAAATTATTGTTCAGTATCTTTCATTAGCTTCCTTTCCTCTGCCCTCTTTAACGGTGATGTTCCACAGAGATCTGTTTATGTATCTGTCTTAATTGTGAAACAGAATCCTCCTTTAGGACAGAAGTTTTGTCTTACTTATTTAAAGGTTTTATGCATCCTGAGTATCAATCCCAGTACTTGTGATGGCTGTTATATAGTAAATACTATTGTATAAATGACTGGGTGAAGCTGTTTAGATTTTGTTAATACCTACTGAAATAAGCATTCTCAATTTTTTTCCCTAGGAAATCTTTTGTTGATTATATTTGTGAGTTATTTTGGAACTAAACTACATAGACCTATAATGATTGGTGTTGGATGTGTGGTTATGGGATTAGGGTGTTTCTTAATATCGCTACCTCATTTCCTCATGAACCGGTAAGTAGTCCAGTCTTTGATGATATTTTAGGTTTGTTTTTTATTTGCAAGAACTGAGGCTTGTAATTCCCCTTCTGGGAGTGATGCTTCCTAAAGAACACAATAGTGAAGTAGGAGCTGGAAGAAATGAATTCTGTCTTGTGCCCTTGGATGCCTCACTTCCACTCACACAGTTACACCTTGTCAATCCGTGAAACAGAGATTTGGGACACTTCTTTCATGAGATTGAATCCGATGAAAAAATACTTAGGACCTGCCAGAATTTGGGAATTACTCCTTTCTCAGGACTATTTAGACAATTCTGATTGCAATAAGGTTCTGTTTAATTGTAGGTCACAAAGACAGCAGTCTGAATGTTGATTTTTATTTTAATTTTTACCAAAATAATTTATGTATAAGATTGTAAAAATAAAATTATATTGAAAGAGTTGTCCCCTACCCCTGATTTTTGCTTTCCAAGGGCAACCGCTTGTAACCTTGCAACTGCCTTAGCTCTTTTAGGGGTTTGCCTCTGTATTTTGTTAGTTTTTAATACCTCATTGTACTGGATGTATATTGAATTCCTACTATAAAATCATATGCAGTATTTACATTTGTATTATTTGAAAACACTTTTCACCACTGAATCATGTTGTTTTTTTCTGTTATATAACTTTTATTTTTCCTGAATTATAATAATTGACTTTTTCTTTTGATTAGCTTTCTTTGTATCTCTCATTAATTCCTCACCATTTGGTAGAGCAGTTGCCCTCTCAGTGCAGTCAGAGAGGTTTCAGGGGGTAATTTAGTAACTTTCTGAGAAAGTATTTAAAAATAATATTTAAAACCTTGTTCATCTGAATATATTCTTATTTTACTTCCACATTTGATTTATAGTTTGGAAACCATTCCAAAGTGTTGTTTTTATTTTTTCTTTTCAGTGTTATTATTATTGAGAATACTATGCAATTCTAATCTATGTGACCAGTTTCTTTTCTCTGGGAAATATTGAGATTTTTCTTTTAAACTCTAGAGTCAGAAATTCATAATTATTTTGGCATAAGTTCTTTTCCTCCTCTGTGCTAGGTGCTTTCAGTGGACATTTGGGGAAATTACTTGTATTTTTTCCCTTAGATAATATTTCTCTCCCCATACCCCTCTTTTTTCTCTTTCTACAACTTCTATTATTTGAATATTGGATATCCTGGATTAAACTTATGTTTTTCTCATCTTCTTTCTCTAATTTTATGGTGTATCTCCTTCTACTTTCTGGGAGATGAGTCTTCCAAACCTTTGGATGGGTTTCTAATTTATACTATCATATTTTTTTCATTTTCAAGGACTCCTTTGTTTTTTGAATATCTCTTTTTGAGGAACATTTTATTCTTTCAAGAAGGCAATATCTTTTCCCATCTAAATTTTCTTCATCTGTCTTTGTTGTCTCTGGCTCCTCCAAGTGTAGTTTTTGTTTGTCTCTGTCTTTACCACTGTAGTGTCCCTCATGTATCTTGTTCTTGGTTATTCATATTTAAGAGAGGAATAACAGCAACAATAAGGTAATTAGAAATTCCATGTTTGTCCTGATTAATGGAGGACTTTTTCATAGGGTAAGGACTGGTTGTTTTCAGATGGCTCAGAACTGGGCATCACCTGTTAATTAATTATCCTAGGCAAGGATTCTACTTTCTGTTGCTTGGGAGGTAGAAGCTTGGCTACCAGATGGTAGGAATGGTAACCTCATTTTTTAGTATGCAGTTTTTCTATTTTATTGAATACTCAGTTTTTAGCATGGCCTTCCTGTCCTCAGTATGCCTGCTTAGACTTTAGACTCAATGGACATTTTCAGTGTGAGAGGCAGGGGATGTCTTTGTAGGTCTAACTCATTTTTATGTACACTTTAAAACAAAGTGTGTAAATCATTTGAAATTTGGGTCATGCACACTTACATTTTTAGGTATCTTGCCTGAAACTTTCTAGAGATGCACAGCATGTGTTTAAGTGCTCCCCTGTAGACACTTATGACAATATTTTTCATTCTCCCACTCAGTCATGGTTGACATACCTGCTTTCCCACTTTCCACATTTCTTCAAACTCCGCCTTATTCTCAGATCTCCCAGTCTTTTTATCCTTGTTGAATTGTGCCTTTTTGTTTTTCATTTTAAAATCCTTTTATTGCTATTTGGTTGGTGTTTATGAATAAATGGACTTTGAATAAGAGACTAAATTTTAAGTATATAAATTAAATCAACAAATTATTTTATTTTATCTTCTCAGGTATTTTTGAAGGGATCAAATGTTTTCAGGCAAAGAGTTTTTACTGCTCTTTTATTTTCTATCTTATCTAAGGTAATATCAAGTAATATTCGGCTGTTATTTACATTTGTTCCACCATCTGCCAAAGGTCTTATTTCTTTGAAGTTCTTATGTCTCATGAGCTCATCAGTAAGGAAATAGAAACTTTTGTTCACAGTTCACAGCCATGTTCTATGGGCATGACTAGGCAATTGTTCTAAGGAGAAGGTATTTAAACCCTTTGTATTATATCCGGTAGCATAGAAATTAAAGACTATTGAGGGTATCCAAGCATAACACTCTAGCTCATATACAACTAAGAAGGGAAAGTTTTCTTTTGGCTTTCTCTTATCTAATATACACATTAAAAAGAACAGAATAATTTATAACAAAGAGAGACTCAGTTGGACATAATTTCCTATAATCTTGTAGTATGTAATTTACTTTCTGAGAAAGGATATTTGGATCCTGTGGTAATTTGCCTAAATTAAATGGCCACAATCTATTAACCCTTTTGTTCTTGTGAGAAGAGGAAAAAACATTACATTAAGCTGTGCTGATGATAGTTGAGATTCTCCCAAGGCCCCTCATTATGATGGGCAATTTTTTTCCTTTTTTAGGAGTTAATGAACACATTGAGTAATTATTTTTGGATTCTCAGAATTCATGGTTATGCTTCTTATGAGCAAACTTCAGAGAATCCAAAGATAGAGATTGTCCCCCTCCCCACCAAAGCCTTTATTTTCTTAATTATATGTTGAGTTTTCTATTTCAGTTTAGTTTTTGTTCCTTGTTCCATATTAATCATTTCCAGGAAATGGTCACCTAAAAACCACAGATGGTTGATGTCAGATAATCTAAAAGGTATAACATTGACATGTAGAGAATTGAAAGCTAACTGTAAGGGGAGTCTACATTTTCAATGAGCAGCCGATTTGATTCTTTTGATGATATTAATTTATGATCATTAGAGTAACAAAGATGAAAAGACATCTTTATAGGATTTGAATGTTGTGGCTGAAGTGAAGCAGGAGTTAGTAATCTGCAAAATGCCCACATTGTCCTCATTAATTCTTTAACATAAATATGTTTCCCCATATTCATACAGATATGAATATGAATCTACAGTTTCAGTTTCAAGCAACTTGTCCTCAAACAGTTTCTTGTGTATGGAAAATGGCAACCAGACTTCAAGACCAACACAAGATCCATCAGGTTGTCTACTTCATTGTATGGCATTCTGTCCAGTGAATTCATGACTGGTCTTTTGGACAAAATATTGGGTTTAGTTAAATGATTTTGGTGAATGAACAGAAGATATTTTCTCTCTTCTGGGATTCTGAGGGGATCACAAGAGGGAGAATAGGAATGTCTAATAATATAGAATATTATCCCTTATTCAATGTATCTATTAAGATTTCCCTGTATGTTTCTTAAAATGGTTATTTAAAAATGAGTCAAAGAGGGGTGGAAATGTAGATCAGTGGTAGAGAGCTTGCCTGGCATGCGTAAGACACTGGGTTCAATCTCCAATATGTACAGCAAAAAACAAAAAACAAAAAATGAATCAATGATAACCATCCCAGGACCACTATAGAGTTAATCCCACAAAGAAAAATTACTTTGAAGGATGAATTTATATTCATTATTTGGTCTCACAATTAGGCAAATAGCAAATAGAGAAAAAAGTTCTAAAGCTTTGTATTATATCACTGATATTCTATAGCTAGGAAAGCAGCAAGTATATTAAAATTTGGAATTACTTTATTCCCTTTCTACTAATGGGGATTTGTTTTTCCATCTCCTTGACCTTCTTTAACAGAGACTTGACTTTACACTTTAGCACAAAACTGCAACAGCATACTGGCCTCTGCTCCTTCATATGCTAAGGGATCTAAATAATCTTCTAGTGACACTTAGTCTGGATATGACTGCTGACTTACCTCAAGCCAGAACTTCTCCTCCTCTGATGGGGACATTTTAATACTGGATTTGTGACAGTGGAAGTTGCAGTAGTCCTGATAGCTGGGAACTTACTGCCATTATGGAATCAGAGTTAAAGACTATCTGTCTCAGAAGAGCTAAGCCAAAGAAGCTACTGAGAAAAAAAAGGGAAAACATCACCAGTAGCCTGAACTCACTCTGGCCTTGCAGAAGGATTGTGCAGGCACTAGTCTGCATTACAGTGGGGGCAGCAAAGCCTCCCCTCTTTGGTGCATCTCCAGGAAAGTGCATTCATTCTTTCATCACTTAACATCTTCAGTTTTGCCCTAGAGTAAGCCTAGGATTTGTCTTTGATCTCTAGATGCAAATCATTGTGCTTATCATTGGGGAAAACAAACAAACAAACAAATCTCCAGAAATGGAGGCTATGATATTTTGGGACTGGGAATGACTTCGAGGTAGACTTCTCAAAAAACTGCGGGATACAACTATGCTGGGAACCCTGATGTTTGTGAACAACGCCTGGCCAGTTTACAGGAGGTGAAAGTACCTTGTCTTTCACTCTCCAGAAAACATGACCCTACAGTGTTTCCTTAAGGCTTGACAGCTTTTTTGTCTTAGAACCAAAATTGCAAAAAGGTAGATCTAAATCTTCAGAGAGCTCTCTTTTTTTGTTTTTTCTTTTGAATTCCCTTGGACCTGGTCTTTATTATTATAATAAGAAGGTGTTGCTCCAAGGATTGGGGTGGTGTTAAAAGATTTTGGTAGTTTCAGTATACAGTAGTCTTCATAGAAAATAAAGTGATTATTTCCCAGTTAAATATTTTTAGTTTTTATAAAGTTATCAGCTGTAGAAAATTCAATCTTGAATGGAACTTGGTTTTAAATAAATGTGATATTGATAAATGTGATATGAATTATGGGGAGATATATTTGTGTATGTGTGTTTTTTATCTACCCAAAGTTGTGTAGGAATGGGATAACACTCATAGCTGTTAACTGGGACCAGTAGTTACTGGTAAACTAAATTTGGGGGGATTGGGGTAAGCCTGATATTTGGTGTTTGCCAAATTCTATATGATGTAAATACTCCCATCAAACTACCCAAAAGAATTGACACTAAATATTGAATTGGGAAAAGGTATATGTAGTCTTTTCTCCCAACCCAAAAGAACAGGTTCCAGCACACCACTTATTCTTGTCCAAACCTAAGCACTCTCACAAAAAAAATGCAATAAGGGTGACCCAATGATTCATTGCTGGCCAAGTAGATAAATTATTGATAAGATGTCATGGGCATATAAGAACTATGAAATGCTTAAAGAAAACTTTGAATTAAGTATCACTAACACTTACTATCCAAGCACTAATGCAATTTTTTTGTTTGTTCATTTTAATGCAGAGTGTGTGAAGGAAGTTAAGTCATTAATGTGGGTATATGTACTGGTAGGAAATATTATACGTGGAATAGGTGAAACCCCCATCATGCCTTTGGGTATTTCCTATATAGAAGATTTTGCCAAATCTGAAAACTCTCCTTTGTATATTGGTAAGTTTAAAAATCTGCCTTAATTCCTTTTCAAGACAGAAGTTCCCTTAGGTTAAAAATTTATTGTCTACATAGAATCTTAGTGATTTCCAGAATGATGAGTAGACTCCCTTGGCATAGTTAGCCATAAGGTTTTTGAATGTGGCAATCAATTATAAACCACTTTGTAAAATCTGCCTTTTCTTTTTTTTTTTTTTTTTTTAAGGTACTAGGGATTGATCTCAGGGACACTATAGCACTGAGTTACATCCCCTGTCCTTTTTAAATTTTTTTAATTTGAGAAAGAGTTTTTCTAAGTTGCCCAGGATAGCCTTGAACTTGCAATCCTCCTGCCTCACCCTCCTGAGTCATTGGGATTACACGTGTGTATAAGTTTGCCTAGCTGCAAAATCTGCTTTCTACTATTAAAAAGACTACTAATCTAGTGTCCCTCAAGTCCTCTGAATGCTCTATTTCCCTGACACTGCATTCTTTCTAAGAAGATTCTAAGCTCTAAGAAGATTCAAGATCTTTCTCACTACTTTTGCTATTTCAGTTTTTGTTCAGGTTCTCATTGCTTCATAATTTATTATAACTTTTTTGTTGGTCACTTATTTCTATATGCTCTTTTATTGATTTCTTATAAATGTTTTTGCAGTGTAATCTTTCTGAAACATTGTTTTAATCAAGTCTTCTTTACCACCTTCATGACACCTGCTGGCTTCTTGTTTATTAACTCTGATCTCTTACTTATCAATCACAACCCTGATACCCTATGTATAGTTTCCTTGATAATGTCTCTTCATCACAGTCTCCATGTCTTAGGGGATTCTTCATATTTTTTCACAAAAGCAATCTTCATAATTACCTTTTTATATTAATGTATTATCTGGTATAATAGTCAACCCAAGAGCCACTTTCTTATATTTCTCCCAATCTTCTAATATTAATTTGTTATAAATGACTTGCTTATATCCCTTAGCTATTATATCTAGTTGAAAAAATCAAAACTTTGTCTATAGGGTTATTTTCTTATTAATGTAGATTTATCTTTTTATAAACTTAATAACTTTAAGCGAGTGAGAGAAAATAAGAACAGACCTATACACAATCAAGATGGATTAAAATTTTTAAAAACTATGAATCATTACCCCAAATAACTTTTGGAACTTTTTGGAGGTTCACTAACTTTACAATAATCTCTTTCATTATTTTTCTTTTCAATCCTTTTAAATCCCTTCACATACTTCTATTGAAAGATTGCACACACATTTCTAAAATAAATTAGCAAACAGCTTGTTTTAATATGTATTTTAATATTCATAAAATACTATGGTACTGGTTTAGTTGCTTTTGCATCACTGTGACCAAAAGACCTGACAGGAACAACTTAGAGGAGGAAAAGTTCATTTTGGCTCACAGTTCTACAGGTTCAGTCTATGTTCATCCAACTCCATACATGGCTCTGGGCCCAAGGTGAGGCTGAAAATCATGACAGAAAGGCACTGCAGAGGAGAGCACCTCAGGACCTGGCAAGGAGGAAAGAGAAAGTGAGGGAGAGAGGAAGAGAAAGAGAGATGAGGAGGTGGAACACGAGCATGTGCTATGCTCACCAGGGACAAAATATAAGCCCCAAAGTTGAACTTACAGTAACCTACTCCCTCCAGCTACACCCTGTCTACGCACATTTACTTCCCAGTTATTTCATATCAGTGGATTTTCTTTCTTTTTTTTTAAAGAGAGAGAGAAAAGGGAGAGAGAGAGAGAGAATTTTTTAATATTTATTTTTCAGTTTTTGGTGGACACAACATCTTTATTTTATTTTATGTGGTACTGAGGATCGAACCCAGCGCCCCGCGCATGCCAGGCGAGCATGTTACCGCTTGAGCCACATCCCCAGCCCATCAGTGGATTCTCTGACCATTCTTGCACTATCTCACATGTGAGCTTTGGGAGCACACTTCACATCTAAACCATAACATTCCTCCTCTGCACGCACCCAAAGCTCATGTCCATCTCACAGTAAAAAATACATTTAGTTCATTTACATAATTATGTATATAAAAATACATAAGTTCATTTCCATAGTCTTAACAGTTACAGCATTACCCAAAGTCCAAGTCCAAAATCTCATTCGAGACTCTAGCAAACTCTTGATTTTGAGCCAAGATCAAAAGCAAATTGTACCAATATTCAATGGCACAGAGTAAACATTTTCATTTCACAATAGAGAAATGGAGGTATAGAAAGAAGAAATGGGACCAAAACAAATCAAAATCCAGCTGAGCAAACGAGTCCTGTAGCTCCACATCTAGCATCTTGGGAACATGAGATCATGATGTTATACCTGCAAAGGGCATGTATATTTCTTCCCTTGTGGCCTTACTGGTTGCAGTCCACATGGCCTCTCTCTTAGTTATCTCTGTAGGTTCTTGCAGCTTCCTTGACAGATATTCCATATTACTGGCATCTCTTGATCTCAGAGGGGTCTCCTTTGTAGCTTTGGCTTCCTTCTTACATCTTCCTGCATCACCCTTTCAGGGACAGCCCACAGGGACTCTGAATCGGCTACATTTTCCTGGCCTTCCTAGGAAATCTCAGTGGAAACCTCCCTGTCACCATAACTCCAGCATCTCATTCCTGCAGAACTAGGACCATGTGGTTGATGCCAAGGTCTGCCACCACCTTGAGCAGTAGCCAAACCTCTTGGGATGATGGCTTCAGCAGCCTCTGAGTGTTTGGATGACTGAGCACAGTGAAACAACTTCCTAGGCCCCACTGTGCAATCAAGATGCCTCCAGGATCTCTTTTCAAAGGAGATCTTTGAGCCTGTGATAGGCATTGTCTTGTCCATTCCTGAGATGCATTCAAGCTATTGTTTATGGATAAGGTACTTGGTGTCTCTTTAGTGGATGTAATGTCTTAACAATCACAACTTCCTTGGCCTCAGTTTTAGTCACACTTTTCTGGCCAAACTACAAGTTTTTCAAATCTTTCTACTCTGCTTTCTGCTCCTGATTATCACAGTAAACTTAGCTAAAAGCTGCAAGCAATGGCCATACTATCCCCTGAATTCTTTGCTGCCTTGAAATTTCTTCCACCAAATTAATTAGTTTATCATCTTTAAATTGATCCTTACAGGGTGTCCCAGGACATAGACAAAATGTAGATGACAATTTTGCCACATAAGTAGCCTCTAGTCCAATTTCCAATTTAGTCTTCTTTTTCCTCTGAAAGATCCCAGTCTTTACTATCCACAGTCCTATTTAGCATTTTGGTCTTTTGTGCTCCAATTAGAGTCTCCAATTAAGCTCTGCTTACAACATTCTAAATGTTTTATACTTTGCATCTCTAAATTTCTCAAAATTCCTCTCACAGACTCCATAAGGCTTTTGAACCACAAGGTTAGGTTAGTAACAGCAGTGACCTTCCTCCTTGGTATGAATTTCTGTTTTAGTTAGCTTTTCACTGCTATGATTAAAATACCTGACAAGAACAATTTAAAAAAGAAAAGTTTATTTTTGCTCATGGTTTCAGAGGTTCAGTCCACTGTTGGCTGGCTGTACAGCTCTGGGCTTAAGGTGAAGCAGAACATCATGGCAGAAGGATATTATAGAGGGAAGCAGCTCAGGACATGGCAACCAAGAATAAGAAGAAGGAGAAAGAGGGGAAGGAAGAAGAGAGAGGAGGAGGAGGAGAAAAAAAGAAAAAAGAGAGCGGGCAAGCACTGTTTACTGGGGACAAAATATAAACCTCAAAGTCATACCCCTAGTGACTTACTTCCTCCAGTCATATATTTCTGCATACAGTTACCACCCAGTTAATCCACTGAAGTGAAATAACCCATCGATTAGGTCAAAGATCACATAATCTGATCATTTGACCTCTGAACATTTTGTACTCTCTCACATATGAGCTTTTGGGGAACACCTCACATCTAAACCACAATAGGTACATAATATGTAAAACTATGATAATTTATCTACATATTAAGATGAATAAGATACATGTCCACAATAAGTTTAGTAAATAAATAACTACATAATTATATCAATGTTATATATCTGCATGTGTGTATGTACAATGAAATAATTATAAATCTAATACCTAGACATCAATAAAATAGTTCTATGTATAGCTCTGGAGTTTAGGAGAGAATATGAAAGTTAGGTATACAGCATGAGAATCATCTACATAGAGATAATAAATAAAATTAGAAGGGAAAAATGAGGTTGTCATTGGAAGCTCATTTGTATAATGAGAGATCCTAGGGTAAAATATTGGAAATTACTTAGTGGGTAGAATAAGAGGAAGAAAAATCAAAGACAAAGTAGTCATACGGGGAAAAGAAAAGCAATGAATGTACAGTTTTGTGAAGGTTCTAGGAGAAAAATGACAAGAGTTAGTCAGCAATGTCAAATGACAGAGTTAGCAGGATGAAGACCAAGATAGGACACTGGATTAGTGACAAAGAGTTATTACTTATACTGTTTAGTATAATGTGAAGAGATTTGAGCAAGTGAGGAGGAGGTGAGGAAATGGAGATAGAGTATAGGGAAAGGAAATAGAGCAGAGTGCTTTAGAGATAGTGTAACAATCATTGGGTGGGAGGATATGAAATAAGCATAGAATAGGGAATGTTAGGCAGATAAAGACCACAGATAATATAAAAGGGGTTGGTACCGGACAAGTCAGGACTACATGGGGTAGTTGAGCTTCAGCCCTGAGACTGTGGAGAAGGCAGACAAAATGCAGAGACAAAATTTGAAGTAGGCAAAAGAAGTTGAAGAAGCTCCTGCCTGGATTTTCAGTGATCAGGAAGGGATCAGCATACATTCTGAATTGCAGATAAATCAAGAGGTGGCTGCTGATGAATTTTCAATTATTAAGAAGCCAAGTGAGGATATAAGAGACTGACAAAAGTGGAAAATAAGAATGTGGAGGATAAGAAAGGAGACTGTGATAAAATCAATGAGATGTACCATAATAATGAGGGCATATTCTTCCAAGGAATTTTAAATTGAAGATTTGGAGTGATGTTTTTCTGAGGAATATGTATAAAAATTCTTTTTACATGTTATTGCTTTAGAATTTCTTTTAAAATATGGCTATGTAAAGCATCAAAAATATTTTGTTTTTTATCATGGATTTTTCAATAGGATGCCTGTGTGCCTGTGCTGTTAGAGCAAAGCTTTTACTCAGCATAAAAGAGAATTTGGAAGTATTGAGAAATTGCCTTTAAATTATGAGGCTTCTATGTTAGTCAACTTTCTGTTATTTTAACAAGTACCTGAAATAATCAGTGTTTTGGTCAGGTTTTTTTTTGTCACTGTGACCAAAAGACCTGATAAAAAAGAATTTAAGAAGCAGAACTTTATTTTAATTCACAGTTTCAGTCCACAGATGGCCCACACCATTGCTCTGGGCCCAATGTCAGGCAGAACATTATGGCTGAAAGGTATGGAAGAAGAAGGCAGCTCAGGACATGGAAATGAGGAAGCACAGAGAGCTCTGCTCACCCTCAGTAATCTACTTCTCCAACCACACCCTACCTTCCTACATTACCACCCAGTTAATCCATCAGTAGATTAATCTACTGATTAGGTGACACCTCTTATAATCAAGTCATTTGCCTCTGAAAATTCTTGCATTATCTCACACATGAGCTTTTGGGGAGCACCTCATATCTAAACCATACTATCAATTTATAAAGAGAAAAATGATTATTTTGGCTCTCGGTTTCAGAGGTTTCAGTTCATGATCAATTGGCCTTGTTGTTTTGGGGCCTGTAGTGAGGTAACACATGATGCAGAAGCATGTGTGTGAAACTACTTACTTCATGGCCAGGAAGTAAGAGAGAAAGAGGAAGGGACTAGAGTCTCATCACCCCTTTTAGAGCATGACTCAAATGACCTGAAGATTTTCCAATAGTCCTCACATCTTAAAGGTTGCACCAACTCCTAATCATGCCAAACTTGGGACTAAGCCTCTAACCTATGAAGCTTTAGAGGACATCGCAGATTCAAACAATAGCAGCTTGTTTTTCAACATTTACAAAATCAATGTTATTTTATATGCACACCAAGTTTATTTTTCTTATAAGCTGAATATCTCAGTTGAAAATATCTACGATAACTGGGATATACCTAAGCAAAAAAGCATTTGCCTAGCATGAGTAAGTCCCTACATTCAACAACTAGCACAACACCTCTCAAAAAAAAAAATTAAAAAAAATAAATGAAAACTTCAGTCTTTTCATAGAACCAGACTCTATGTGAGTAACTATACTATAACTTTGTATTTTTTGGTTTGTTTTAGGGTTTATAGAAACAGGAGCTATCATCGGTCCTTTGATTGGACTTTTGTTAGCGTCATTCTGTGCAAACATTTATGTAGACACTGGATCTGTAAACACAGGTAATTCAATAAAATCTATTTAAACAGTGTCAGAGTATGCAAAGTATCTTATGAATGTAATTTCATGTAATTGTTGTCCTATTTGACCCTCACAAAGGTAGATTATTTCAAGTTTACATCAGCCAATCAAAGTGGAGTAAATAGTAGAGGAAGATAAAATGCTGATCTTCTGATTCAAAGTCCATTACTCTTTCTGTCATATCTCAGCCATATTTTGGTTTCAAAAGATTTAAGAATATAAGTTTTACTTTCTTGTAATCAAGGGATCACTTGTAGATAATGAAATAGACCTTTCAGTTATTTATTAAGTACCTAGTTATAAATTCTTTATGTGATACGATAGATAATCAAGGCTAATTTATTGCTTTATTATTTATGTCGTAGCAGTACACATTGGCAGACAAATCTTTTTAAATTAAATTTATTTTACCTGATACATAAAACAAAAATTATACATACTAATGGGATTCCATGTGATGTTTTGATATATGTAAACAATGTATAATATCTATTTCTCTTTTCTTTAAGAGGAAAACTTTCAAAATCCTTTCTTGTAACTTTTCACAATGTATAGTACACAATCGTTAATTATAATCACCCTACTGTGCAACAGCTCACCAAGACTTCTTGCTTCTAACTTTAACTTCATATCATTGATCAACCTTAGATAAGTTTATAAATGTCTGAATTGTATGAAAATTTTCTATCTGAATGAACCTGAGAATTATAATTTTAATAATTTTCTGTATTTTATACAAGAGATATGACATTAACTAATATAAATATATACATTTCTTTACAGATGCTCTGACCATAACTCCCACTGACACTCGTTGGGTTGGTGCATGGTGGTTTGGCTTTTTGATCTGTGCAGGAGTGAATGTCCTCACTGCCATTCCTTTTTTCTTTTTGCCCAAAACGCTTCCAAAGGAGGGACTAGAGGGTAATGCTGACATCATTAAAAGTGACAAAGAAGAAAAACAGAGAGGAGAGGTCAAGAAGGAAAAGAATGGAATCACTAAAGGCAAATATAAAAATTTTAAACACCATAATTTACCTTTTATTTTATATAGGTGTTTCTATATTTTAGCTTAGCACTATAATATATTATGCTGCTGATGTATGCTATTAAGATATTTTGTTATTACTGATCACAAGTCAATAATATCTAACTAGTCTGATTCTTCCTGTGCTAATCTTTGAAAACAAATGATATAATTTGAAAGCTGTTTTATCTCAGTCTTTATATAAAAATTGAAATCATTCTTGGAATTCCAAATAAGCAAATATATTTGGTCCTATCTGCTTTAAAACAATCTGTTCTATAGAGAACAAAGGTCTAATTAAAAAATGAACAAGTAGAAATTTAAGAACAATAGTAGGAAAAAATATGCACCAATCATAATAGGCAGTATAGTTCTATAACCAAAATTTTAGCTTAGCTGTGAGCTTCCTGGAGTTTAAGGCAGAAAAAGGAAACATTATAGATAATATGATTCTTTATATTTGATAAAGGGGTGAATGATAATTTTAAAAGATAAATTGTTCCCTCAACAACAAAGTATAAAAGTGTAGAAAAAAATATCATCATATGATGTATGATACAAGTAACATTGAGCAACATAGTGAATTTCAGCGAATGCAAGAGCATAATTAATGTAGCATTTTTTAATATAGATCTTTAATCAAAGTTCAAGGCAAAGTTTTCAAGAAGATGTTTCGGTGGGAAACTCAGTGTAGATAATTTTAGTATGTAGTATTTGTATCCCAAACGTGGCATACATTGGAATCACTTAGGAATTTTAGAATTTACTGATGCTTGAAAGTAGTGCAGTAGTCTCAGGAAGTTTGAGTTAATTCTTAGGGAATGTAGCTTGGGTATTAGATTCTTAAAGAGTATTTATTTGGAAGATGGGTGGTGGTGATGGCGGGGGGGGGGGGGCGCTGTTTCATTATCTGTAAAATGGCAATAATAGCATTACTTTTATTATAGAGTTATTGTGTACAGGTGAAAGGAATTTTGGTGCATGTTCCTATTATTATTCCTATTAGTACTAATATTTTCATTGTTGATGTTGTTATTTTACCATAATTCACAAGCTCTTATACAATTTACACATTAATTTTTATTAACAATCACAAATTCACTTGAAGCACAATTAAACACTATTTAATACTTATTGGAAGATTAGAATTAGTTTACAATCTTGAAAATTTTAAGCATCATGATTATAATAACAATTCTTCTAAAAGGGCTAATACAGACTGATAGAGAATATTAACACAGAATAGTTTTTGTGGTTTGCAAGATCAACTTTCAAAACTAGGGAAGAGCTTAGAGTAAGATAAAATATGTTAAATAGGTTTGAACTATCAAGACTCTTCTATTAGGACAGGGATGTCAACAAAAATGGGTGATTTAAAAAGCCCAAAGAGCCGAGTGGCGCACGCCTCTAATACCAGAGTCTCAGAGGGTGAGACAGGAGAATCACCAGTTCAAAGCCAGCCTCAGCAACAGTAAGGTGCTAAGTAACTCAGTGAAACCCTGTCTCCAAATAAAATACAAAAATAGGGCTGAGAATGTGGCTCAGTGGTCATGTACCCTGAGTTCAATCCCCAGACCAAAAAAAAAAAAAAAAGCCCCAAAGAGTTTTGACCACATCTCCCTCCTCTGCATGGACCTTCATGGACCTTATTCTTAAGCAGGAATTCTACAAGTGGGATTTATTTCTTTGCATTAAGCTGTGCTTCCTCCACCAATGGTTCATTTCTTCTACCAAATGGTTTATTTCTTCATACTTCATTCTCGACTTGAGTAAGTTGTAGGCAGTTAATATTAAGTAAACTAGGACAGTACAAACCAAGGAAATTGAGACAGAGAACATGAAGATAGAAAAAGTGAAAAGAAATTAGAATTTGAGCCAAAATAGCTGCAATGTGACTCAACCCATTTACCACAGACAGGCCACAAATTAAGCAGAAAAAAATTTCGGTTAAATCATTTATATTGTCCTTATTATGTACCAAATGAATCAAAATCTATGTGAACAGAGCCTGCATATGGTTTAACAAATATCTCCAGGTAGTTCTAATATACATCCCATTGTGAACTGATGAAACAACCATTGAAATTGTTGTTCAGAAGAAGCAGAAAAATTCCTGGTACTTAAACAAATTTTTATCCCATTAATTCCCATGTCTTCATTTTAAATATTCAGGGAGTGATAGTTTCTATATTTTAGTACATACTTCTTTATCAAAGTGATTTCCTTCCAGATTATGGAGAAAAAGCATCTTCCATTCTAGATGATCTCTAGAGAAGAGAGGATATTAATAGAAGAAAAAAGAAAAGGATAAAAAAAAATGGTGTGGACCCAGATGCTGTATTTGTCTCTTTTAAAAATTTTTTGTTTTAGTATTTATGGACCTTTATTTTATTAATTTATTTATATGTGGTGCTGAGAGTTGAACCCAGTTCCTCATACATGTGAGGCAAGTGCTCCACCACTGAGCCACAAACCCAGCCCCTATATTTGTCTCTTTAAAATTTTGCTTAAATAATGACTTAGGGAAGGTAAACTATTGTGTTCTAATTCTACCCAGTCAGGTATATCACTGATTTCCAGAAGCCACTCAGCTTATATATTTTCAGCTTACAGGTAGTAAAAAGAATGAACAGATATATGTGCATTACGAAGTATAATCGGGGAGGGAGGTTGATGTTTCAGGAAAACACCTGCCACAAAATGCAAAGCCAAGTTGATCTGACACTATTATTCTTTCATTTCAGATTTTTTACCATTCATGAAAAGTCTCTCCTGCAATCCAATTTACATGCTTTTCATACTTATAAGTGTGTTACAGTTCAATGCATTTGCTAACATGTTCTCCTTTATGCCTAAATATCTGGAACAACAATATGGAAAATCAACTTCTGATGCAATCTTTCTCATTGGTATGTTTGTTTCTCTCTGAGTTATTGGCATACTACCCCCCCCCCCCCCGCCCCCCATGAAATGGTGAACAATGTGACAAAGGGATTAGGAAACTCCTAAATTGAAGTCTTTTAGGATATTCCTGTCTCTGCTAAATTTTCTCTTTCCACTCTCTAGGAAAATTAAGGAAGTGTATGAAGGGGAAGAGGTCAGAAATTGTCTTTTTTCTCTCTTCTGCTCTCTTTCCACTCAGAATAGAAACTCACAATGTTTATGGAAATCTCGGGAAATGCGAACATTAGTGAATTTTCAGATAGGCAGTTCATTAATTTATAAAGGATTAGAGTTAACTCATTAGGATTCTGTGTTTTACTCTTTTGGCTTAAATTCTTGGATTCCGTATTCCTCCTAATGTAGTTCCTTGGTCACCTGATGGTTTTAGATATTTCTGCATCTATATACTTTCTGCCTTTCCTGTAACTACCCTAACCCCAGTGATTCTACTTTGCCTGAATTTTTTCCTGAGATCTTTTTATTCTTCTAAAAAATGACTATCCCAGGCTATGTGTGCCTATATGCCTTGAGTTTTAACACGTTCATCCAAGAATATGATTCAGTGATGCAGATATTATACAAAGCAGCCTAGGGCTGTCTTTCCCTTTTGCTTTTTCCTTTTTTTGTATTGAAGAAGGGGACAAAGAGCTGGGAAAGAAGAATGCTGGTTAGCACAGCAAAATATGAAATATAGCCACACTCAACAGTCAAAGCTTCAGCAGAATGACTTTATAAAGTACCTTGAACTGAGTCAAATTCTTAATAATCAAAGTGGGAGTAAGTAACTGAACTGCCATATATATAAATATATATATATATATATACATGTGTTATATATATACATATAAGATACTTATATATGTATATATTCCCATCCCACACACTAGAGAGTGATATAATAAATTACTGGTCAACTTGGACTTGCTACTCCTACGTATATCCTAATAAAAGAGACTTTGATCATGATACATGACTATAAGAAATTGAAAACCTACTGTGAATAATTAAATGAATGATAATAATATATTTTTTAAATATACTTGACATTATGAGTCATTTTGAAATCTCCCTGTACATGATGTGTAACTGAGTAGGGTTAAAATCACCACTACTTCAATCTAAATACTTTCTTATGTAAAACATATTAGGCAAAAATGATAACATATTTGTTCTTTGTTGTTGTTAATTTGTAAATAACATTTTACTTGCATTTATAGGTATTTATAACTTACCTCCAGTATGCATTGGATATATTGCTGGTGGTTTAATTATGAAGAAGTTCAAGATTACCGTTAAACAAGCTGCCCACATAGGATGTTGGTTATCTGTAATTGAGTACCTTCTCTATTTTTTATGTTTTCTTGTGACTTGTGATAATTCTCCAGTTGCTGGCATAACTACCTCTTATGCAGGGTATGTTTTTTTTTTCCTAGTAAATGCCATATTCTTTCAACAGACTGTTAGTAGCATATTTTCTCTAGTGGTTGTACAAAACCAAATCATTTTTTTAGGAGTTAATGGCAGTGATCCCATGGTCATCCTGCATCTTTCCTTTACCTATCAATTATATACCAATCCATTCAAACTCTAGGTTTATTTAAAAAGTAGTGAACATCACAGGGTGAATGAGTTTATGATTGTGTGTGTATGTGTATAATTGGTAGTCTTTGTGATATCCTAGTGGAAATTAAAATGTACATAAAGGAAGCTACCTATAGGTTATATTAGGATTTGTTATCCATATATTTTATACCCCTGTAAATATTAAAATGAAAAGTTGACTATGCAGTCTAAATAGCCTGTAGATGTTTCCATGGTGGGCTTAATTAGCATTATTGAATCCTAATTCGTGGTAAATTAATATATAAATTTATGTACATCACTGATATAGTTATGTCTAAAGTATAAATAGTTTTAGATATTGTATTTTGAGGTTTATCTGGGTTTACAGAAAGATTTTTCCATAGTAATGAGAAATTTTAAAAATTCACTTCAAGTCAAAATGAAATGAAAAGCTTCCTAAAGTGTTCCTTTTAAAGTCATCAAGTATTATAGTATTAAAATAATTTCAAATATAAAATCATAATTTTTGCATATATTATCTGATTTGAATCTTGCAAGCTCCGCTTAACATAAGCATTATTATTTCCATTTTATAGATAAAGAAATGGAAGATTAGAGAAGTTCAAAAAACCTCTTCAACCATATCAGTGTAGAAATGTAGGTTTTAAAATTGGAATGAATCTTAAAGATTGTCTGCATCTCCAATTATGCTGATTCCCAGAGAGAATGTGTGGAATGCCACACTTTGGTCTAGTCACAGGATTTGAATTCGTTCTCTAGACTCTTATATTAGTTAGTGCATGATCACAATTATAAGTACTGGGTACTAAACCAGAAGAATGCTTTTTTTTTTTTTTACTCACGTGACTTTGTTTCTGAAGTAAATGCATTATAAATGGAAATAGCAGGTTTTGATCTTCAAGTTAGCTCTCTCATTATTTTCTCCCACATGGATCAATCTCAGAGATTAGGTCATCTTCATGTTTTAGTTCTAATAATATCCGGAAAATTGCGTCCCATGGGCCTGGGGTTGTGGCTCAGTGCTAGGGCACTTTCTTAGGTGAGGTACTGGGTTTGATCATCAGCACCACATAAAAATAAATAAAATAATTTTGTCCATCTATAACTAAAAAAAAAATTAAATGCATCCCACATGGTAGGCACTTAGTGCTTGTTTATGGATTGTATTTTTCTAAAATAAATCATTGAAAAAGTGGTTTTGTGACACTGCACCTGGTTATCTTTTACACCAGAACTATAGCAGGCAAGTAACACATTGATAGAAGATTTCTTTTTCTATTTTGGTGGAGGGGAGGAAACATAATTGGGGATTAAGATAGAAAGAAGAAAAACAAATCTTGAATAGTGTTTCAGTATCCATGGTATTATTTTAAATCATTTCAGAATACAACAAGATTTATATGTGGGAAATAAAGTCCTTGATGACTGCAATAGAGCTTGCAACTGTCCAACTAAAACATGGGATCCTGTATGTGGCGACAATGATTTATCATATATGTCAGCTTGTCTAGCTGGTTGTGAGACATCCTCTGGAACTGGATTGAACATGGTAACATATCTTACTGGCTTTTTTGACAGAACTTCTATGTATTGACAATGATTTATCATATATGTCAGCTTGTCTTGCTGGTTATGAGACATCCTTTGGAACTGGACTGAACATGGTAATACATCCTACTGGCCTTTTTGACAGAACTTCTGTGTATTGTATTAGCATTTTCTAAATTTGAACTGGACCTATATCTGCTAAAACCAAATTTAGTCTTTTCTTAAAACCAGACTTTTTTTATTTGTATAACTTAACTTACCTTCTATATGCACACTTTGTTACCTTTTCACTTCTCAGATCTATGTAACGCCTTCACAGTGTCTGAGTACTCATCTGTAATTTTAAGCCAGTTTAGATTATTATTAAAATAATTTGGGTTAAAAATATACTGGACAGAAAACAATTTATCATTGAGAAAGAAGTTGGCAATTTTGTTCTCAAACTGCTGTTTTTTTTTCTTCTGTTTTCTGTGTATATTTATGTATGTGCTTTTTGTGTTTTTCACATGAAAACAGTTTTTTTTAAAAACAAGATAGACAGAGTTAGGCATGTCTTCTTGCCTCAAGAATGTTCAACCTTATAAAGTTGGCTGGTGACCAAAGTAAAATACAAATTTTATTATTAATGAGATCGGGAAACATAATAATTCAAAAAGTGATGACTTTACTCTGTTTTTAAAATAAACTATACTGGAAGGAAGATGGCGGCGAGGGGAGTGCATTGCCCCCGTGTGCTGCTTCACTGTGTGGGAGTATGACAAGTCAGGACGGCTAAAGGATATCTTGTTAGGAATTTCCAGCAATAGTGGGGTGCTCCGGAACCTGGAGGAAGGATTTCCATCGCACGAGGATCAGCTACGGGGACTCAAACGCGAGAGGTTTGTCGCACGGAGGGTAAAACTGCTTATTCAGCAAATCGCCCCGCGGCTAGAGTCTGCAGCGCGCGCTGGGATAGAGACGCAGGGTTACAGCGCTGCAGTTTCTGCCAGCCGCGCAAGCACCGTACTCAGGGCTGAATTCTGGGTTCGAGACGGGGGAAGGAAGCGGTCCATCTCGGTTCTCCACACCAGTCAGACCACAGAGGAGGCCAGCAGCCACCATGTTGGTAAACTGACGTCACCACCCCTGTTTTCGACTGACCGCAGCTCATTCAGCCATAGAACAGGTAATTTCAGGCTGCAATTCGCCTGCGGCTTGCAGACAGATTGCTAGGGTTCAGCGCCTGGGTGCTTCTTAGAACCTGATCTTATTGGAGTGAACACCGAGCGCGGGGTGGCCGAGTTCCGGCTCCCGGAACCGTCCCGGAACTGCCCTGGCCCAGGGCTGCTGAGCCTGCGGAGGCTGCTTCTTGGACCCTGCTCCTATCAGAGCATACACCAAGCACTAAGCAGCCGAATTCCGGCTCCCGGAACTGAGCCCGCGGGGACTGCTTCTTGGAGCTTACACTTATAGGAGCTTACACCGAGCACGGAGCGGCCGAGTTCCGGCTCCCGGAACTTCCCTGGCCCGGGGCTAGGAGCCCGCGGAAACTGCTTCTCGGTCCGGGTCCTGCTGAGGGCCGGTCAGGACTCACCCGTTGCTTTGGTTGCCCGGCAAGGGGAACAAAATGCTGCCATTCGCATAGGATATTAACATGGCAGAGATCTGATGTCAGCAGAAAGCGGCGGAGGAGAGAACTTTATCAATACCAGCGGTGACATAAGCAGTTGGTCTCCTGGTAGGGGGGGGTGAGGCACAGTCACCCGAGTCTCCTCAATTTGTCGTCGAGCCAGAGGGGAGGAGCCGGGCCGCCGCCAGCGCCCGGAGCAGGCCCAGCGGCTCGCCAGCGTGGTGACCGTGTGACCCCAATTGGAGAGGGGGCGGAGCGGAGCCGCCACCCGCACCCGTAAGGTGGGCAGACCCGCGACCCAGTGGTACATGGGCGTGGTAGGAGGGGCAGGGCAGAGCCGCCCTTCGCGCTTGCAAGGTAAACAGACCTGTGACAGCCTGGCGGGTCAGGCCCAGTGGCCTGCCAGTGTGGTACACACGTCACCCCAACTGGAGTAGGGGCAGAGCAGATCCTTCTCCCACGCCCGGATCAGGCCCTGCCGGTGTGGTGGTCACGTGACCCCAATTGGAGTGGGGGCGGAGCAGAACCACCACCCGTGCCCAAAAGGTGGGCAGATCTGCTACCGACCAGCGGGACAGGCTCAGTGGCCTGCCGGTACGACAGACACGTCACCCCATTTGGAGTAGGGGCAGAGTAGAGCCGCCGCCCGCGCCTGCAGGGTAGGCAAACCTGCAACCGACCTGCGGATCAGGCCCGGTGGCCTGCCGGTGTGGTACACTCGTCACCCCAATTGGAGAAGGGGCAGAACAGAGCCGCCACCAGCTCCCAGAACAGGCCCAGTGACCTGCCGGCGTGGTAGCCACGACACCACAATTGGAATAAGGAGAGAGCAGAGCCGCTGCCCGCACCTGCAGGAAAGATACGCAAGCAGTATGAAAAGACAAGGAAAGAAAGGACCACAAGCAATGCAGGTCAACGCAACTTTAGAAGAGGTAACAGCTGCAACAGATGGAATGTCAGATAAAGAATTCAGGATATACATGCTTCAGATGATCTGGAGTATCAAGGAAGACATTAAACAGCAAAATCAGACAATGAAAGATCACCTCAACAATGAATTACGCAAACAAATCCAGGAAGCAAAGGATCAACTATACAGGGAGATAGAGGTTATAAAAAACAAACAATCAGAAATCCTAGAAATGCAGGAAGCAATAAACCAACTTAAAAACTCAATGGAGAATACTACCAGCAGAGTAGAACACTTAGAAGATAGAACATCAGACAATGAAGACAAAGTATTTCAACTGGAAAAGAACATAGACAGCTCAGCAAGACTGTTAAGAAACCATGAGCAGAACATCCAAGAAATATGGGATAACATTAAGAGACCAAACTTAAGAGTCATTGGGATACAGGAAGGTACAGAGCTCCAAACCAAAGGAATGAGAAGTCTATTCAATGAAATAATACAAGAAAACTTCCCAGACTTGAAGAATGAGACAGAATCCCAAATCCTAGAAGCCTACAGGACGCCGAATGTGCAAAATCATAAGAGATCCACACCTAGACACATTATAATGAAGATGCCCAACATACAGAATAAGGAGAGAATTTTAAAAGCTACAAGAGAAAGGAAGCAGATTACATTTAGGGGTAAGCCAATCAGGATAACAGCTGATCTTTCAACACAGACTCTGAAAGCTAGAAGATCCTGGAATAACATATTTCAAACACTGAAAGAAAATGGGTTTCAACCAAGAATTGTGTATCCAGCGAAATTAAGCTTCAGGATGGAAGATGAAATTAAAACCTTCCACGATAAACAAAAGTTAAAAGAATTTGCAGCTAGAAAACCATCTCTTCAAAACATCCTCGCCAAAGCATTACAGGAAGAGGAAATGGAAAATAACAATGAAAACCAACAGTGGGAGGTAGGACAGTAAAGGGGGGGGGAATAATCAAAGAGGAAAACAAACCATGTTTAGTAACAGAAATAAACAAATATGGCTGGAAGAACAACCCATATCTCAATAATAACCCTAAATGTTAATGGCTTAAACTCACCAATTAAGAGACACAGGCTAGTAGAATGGATCACAAAACAAGACCCAACAATATGCTGCCTACAGGAGACACATTTGATAGGAAAAGACATACATAGGCTGAAGGTGAAAGGTTGGGAAAAATCATATCACTCATATGGACTTCGGAAACAAGCAGGAGTGTCCATACTCATATCAAATAAAATAGATTTCAAGCCAAAGTTAATCAAAGGAGATAAAGAGGGACACTACATACTGCTTAAGGGAACCATACACCAACAAGACATAACAATCATAAATATTTATGCCCCAAACAATGGTGCAGCTATGTTCGTCAAACAAACTCTTCTCAAGTTCAAGAGTCTAATAGACCACCATACCATAATCATGGGAGACTTCAACACACCTCTCTCGCCACTGGACAGATCTTCCAAACAAAAGTTGAATAAGGAAACTATAGAACTCAATAACACTATTAATAACCTAGACCTAATTGACATATATAGAGTATACCACCCAACATCAAGCAGTTACACTTTTTTCTCAGCAGCACATGGATCCTTCTCAAAAATAGATCATATATTATGTCACAGGGCAACTCTTAGACAATATAAAGGAGTAGAGATAATACCATGCATCTTATCTGATCATAATGGAATGAAACTGAAAATCAACGATAAAAGAAGGAAGGAAAAAGCATACATCACTTGGAGAATGAACAATAGGTTACTGAATGATCAATGGGTTATAGAAGACATCAAGGAGGAAATTAAAAAATTCTTAGAGATTAATGAAAACACAGACACAACATATCGGAATCTATGGGACACATTGAAAGCAGTTCTAAGAGGAAAATTCATTGCTTGGAGTTCATTCCTTAAAAAAAGAAAAAACCAACAAATAAATGATCTCATACTTCATCTCAAAATCCTTGAAAAAGAAGAGCAAAACAACAGCAAAAGAAGTAGAAGGCAAGAAATAATTAAAATCAGAGCTGAAATTAATGAAATCGAAACAAAAGAAACAATTGAAAAAATTGACAAAACTAAAAGTTGGTTCTTTGAAAAAATAAACAAAATCGACAGACCCTTAGCGATGCTAGCGAAGAGAAGAAGAGAGAGAACTCAAATTACTAGCATACGGGATGAAAAAGGCAATATCACAACAGACACTTCAGAAATACAGAAGATAATAAAAACTATTTTGAATCCTTATACTCCAACAAATTAGAAGATAGTGAAGGCATAGATAAATTTCTTAAGTCATATGATCTGCCCAGATTGAGTCAGGAGGATATAGAAAACCTAAACAGACCAATATCAATTGAGGAAATAGAAGAAACCATAAAAAGACTACCAACTAAGAAAAGCCCAGGTCCGGATGGGTATACAGCAGAATTTTACAAAACCTTTAAAGAAGAACTAATACCAATACTTTTCAAGCTACTTCAGGAAATAGAAAAGGAGGGAGAACTTCCAAATTCATTCTATGAGGCCAACATCACCCTGATACCTAAACCAGACAAAGACACTTCAAAGAAAGAAAACTACAGACCAATATCTCTAATGAACCTAGATGCAAAAATCCTCAATAAAATTCTGGCGAATCGGATACAAAAACATATCAAAAAAATTGTACACCATGATCAAGTAGGATTCATCCCTGGGATGCAAGGCTGGTTCAATATACAGAAATCAATAAATGTTATTCACCACATCAATAGACTTAAAAATAAGAACCATATGATCATCTCGATAGATGCGGAAAAAGCATTCGACAAAGTACAGCATCCCTTTATGTTCAAAACTCTAGAAAAACTAGGGATAACAGGAACATACCTCAATATTGTAAAAGCAATCTATGCTAAGCCTCAGGCTAGCATCATTCTGAATGGAGAAAAACTGAAGGCATTCCCTCTAAAATCTGGAACTAGACAGGGATGCCCTCTCTCTCCACTTCTGTTCAACATAGTTCTCGAAACACTGGCCAGAGCAATTAGACAGACGAAAGAAATTAAAGGCATAAAAATAGGAAAAGAAGAACTTAAATTATCACTATTTGCAGATGATATGATTCTATACCTAGCAGACCCAAAAGGGTCTACAAAGAAAATATTAGAGCTAATAAATGAATTCAGCAAAGTGGCAGGATATAAAATCAACACGCATAAATCAAAGGCATTCCTGTATATCAGCGACAAATCCTCTGAAATGGAAATGAGGACAACCACTCCATTCACAATATCTTCAAAAAAAATAAAATACTTGGGAATCAACCTAACAAAAGAGGTGAAAGACTTATACAATGAAAACTACAGAACCCTAAAGAGAGAAATAGAAGAAGATCTTAGAAGATGGAAAAATATACCCTGTTCATGGATAGGCAGAACTAACATCATCAAAATGGCGATATTACCAAAAGTTCTCTATAGGTTTAATGCAATGCCAATCAAAATCCCAACGGCATTTCTTGTAGAAATAGAGAAAGCAATCATGAAATTCATATGGAAAAATAAAAGACCCAGAATATCAAAAACAATGCTAAGCAGGAAGTGTGAATCAGGCGGTATAGCGATACCAGACTTCAAACTATACTACAGAGCAATAGTAACAAAAACAGCATGGTACTGGTACCAAAACAGGCGGGTGGACCAATGGTACAGAATAGAGGACACAGAAACCAATCCACAAAACTACAACTATCTTATATTTGATAAAGGGGCTAAAAGCATGCAATGGAGGAAGGATAGCATCTTCAACAAATGGTGCTGGGAAAACTGGAAATCCATATGCAACAAAATGAAACTGAATCCCTTTCTCTCGCCATGCACAAAAGTGAATTCAAAATGGATCAAGGAGCTTGATATCAAATCAGAGACGCGCCGTCTGATAGAAGAAAAAGTTGGCTACGATCTACAGTCGGTGGGGTCGGGCTCCAAATTCCTCAATAGGACACCCATAGCACAAAAGTTAATAACTAGAATCAACAAATGGGACTTACTCAAACTAAAAAGTTTTTTCTCAGCAAAAGAAACAATAAGAGAGGTAAATAGAGAGCCTACACCCTGGGAACAAATCTTTACTCCTCACACTTCAGATAGAGCCCTAATATCCAGAGTATACAAAGAACTCAAAAAATTAGACAATAAGAGAACAAACAACCCAATCAACAAATGGGCCGAGGACCTGAACAGACACTTCTCAGAGGAGGACATACAGTCAATCAACAAGTACATGAAAAAATGCTCAACATCTCTAGCTGTCAGAGAAATGCAAATCAAAACCACCCTAAGATACCATCTCACTCCAGTAAGATTGGCAGCCATTAGGAAGTCAAACAACAACAAGTGCTGGCGAGGATGTGGGGAAAAGGGTACACTTGTACATTGCTGGTGGGACTGCAGATTGGTGCAGCCAATTTGGAAAGCAGTATGGAGATTTCTTGGAAAGCTGGGAATGGAGCCACCATTTGACCCAGCTATTCCCCTTCTTGGTCTATTCCCTAAAGACCTAAAAAGAGCATGCTACAGGGACACTGCTACATCGATGTTCATAGCAGCACAGTTCACAATAGCAAGACTGTGGAACCAACCTAGATGCCCTTCAATAGACGAATGGATAAAAAAAATGTGGCATTTATACACAATGGAGTATTACTCTGCATTAAAAAATGACAAAATCATAGAATTTACAGGGAAATGGATGGCATTAGAGCAGATTATGCTAAGTGAAGCTAGCCAATCCCTAAAAAACAAATGCCAAATGTCTTCTTTGATATAAGGAGAGTAACTAAGAACAGAGTAGGGACGAAGAGCAGGAGAAGAAGATTAACATTTAACAGGGATGAGAGGTGGGAGGGAAAGGGAGAGAGAAGGGAAATTGCATGGAAATGGAAGGAGACCCTCAGGGTTATACAGTGGAGGGGGTAGAGAGAGAGGAGGGGAGGGGAGGGGAGAGGTGGGGAGGGGAGAGGGTGGAGGATGGGAAAGGCAGCGGAGCACAACAGACACTAGTATGGCAATTTGTAAATCAATGGATGTGTAACTGATGTGATTCTGCAATCTGTGTATGGGGTGAAGGTGGGAGTTCATAACCCACTTGAATCAAAGTGTGGAATATGATATGTCAAGAAATTTGTAATGTTTTGAACAACCCACAATAAAAAATTAAAAAAAAAATAAAAAAATAAACTATACTTTTGGAGGACACAGCTTTGTTTATGTGTAGACATTTGAACAATCAAACAGATTTTGTTGTTCTTATTTGTATTGTGGCAGGTAAGTGTTTGTTTTTTTAAAAGTGTGCATTTAGAATAGCTGAGCTATTGCAGATTTACTTCATGTATTTACATAAAATACCATTTATTTTATTCTTCCCTCCCACTTCCCCATTATAGATCAGCATTCACATATCAGAGAAAACATTTGGCCTTTGGTGTTTTGAAATTGGCAGATTGGGCAGAGGGGAGTGGAGGGAGGGGAGGGGAAGAGGGTGGGAAGGATGGTGGAGCAAGACAGACATTATTACCCTATGTTCATGTATGATTGCACGAATGGTATGACTGCATCGTGTATTCCCAGAGAAATGAGAAGTTGTGTTTCATTTGTGTATAATTAGTTGAAATGCATTGTTATGTATAACAAATTAGAACAAATTTTTAAAATGTCATATTTTGAAACTATACTTCTATGCTTTGTTTTATGCTATAATCCTGAGAGAGACCATAAAGGAGATGGGAACATAGGGATAAGCATTGTCCATACTTTTTTCCCTTGGTGTGTGTGAGTAGTACAGTCTCACACATGTTAGTCAAGTGCTGTACCATTGAGCTATACCCCCAGCCCCAGCAGTCTCCATCTTGATCCAACTGACTACATAAAAAAATTGAGATTTGTGTTCAAAATTCTTAAATATATTCTTAAATAGTATATATTATTTTTGACAGGTGTTCCAAAATTGTAGCTGCATTCGAACATCAGGAAATTCATCTGCAGTTCTTGGGCTTTGTGACAAAGGCCATGACTGCTCCATGATGCTCCAGTACTTTCTAATCTTGTCGACAATTAGCAGTTTTATTTATTCTTTAGCTGCCATACCTGGATATATGGTTCTCCTGAGGTACATTAATTATTTTCTTTATTTGCATTTCTTTCTGGTAATTTATTATAGTAACTTTTTCTAAGTAATTTGAGGCTTATGATATCTAAGAACTCTGTGCTCTAATATACATTTATTAAGGATTTTACATTAAACATTGTTGAATCTTACAAAATTTTAAAGTTAATAATATGGATGTTCATCTTTTGTTTTTTTCCCTCTCTATCCTTTGCTAATTTCCTTTCTTATTTCTCAGAATAAGTGGATCTTTCATTGTGTAGTGCAAGATGAGATACATGCCCATTATGAAATGGTTGTTTAGATAGGTAAAGAATAGATGCATAGCAGCCACCTCATTTGGTTTAGCTTACAGGACAGCAGAATTTAAAACTACTAGAAGCCCCCTTTTTTTACCAGGGTCCCTTGATCTTTCTAAGCTCAATTTTTCTTTAATAAAAATGGGCATAAATCGTAAATGCCCAACTCTTTTACAAGGCTACTGTGAGACACAAGTAATGGTTTCCTAAAACTAGGAAATTGCAGAGCCTTGCTCCAAACTTAGGTATATTAAACATGTGCTCTTTCAGTTATAGCATTCTTCATGCCTAATAAACAATCCTGAACACAGTTGCCCACCTGCTCCCCTTTTTCTTGTCTCATTGAAATTCAGAAGCAGAATTAAGTTAATCATAGTTCATTACGTTTTATCATTATGAACTGGGGCAAGCTTTCTCTCTTGCTTTACTTTATTTATTTATTCATTTGTATTAAATTTCATCTCCTACTTTCACTCACCCACTTAAGTATGATAGATATGTTTTTTTCAATATGCATTTTCAGTATGCATTTCACTCAGACGGTGGTGCTCTATGCCTTGGTTTGGTTCTTAAAGTACATGCATATATAAAGACACCAAGTACAGCTAGTGCATAAGAGTTGTTCTCATACCATCACTGCTTCAGTGTCCTGCCCCCCACTTTATAGCCTCCCTAACACTTGGAATTATCTAACTTTCTAATGTTGACTGTTCCAGTTGGTGTAAAATAGTGGTTCATTGATGTTTAGTGTGATTTCCTGGTGAGTGAAGTTAAGCATATCTGAACTAATTTTTAGTTATTTAGATTTCTACTTCAAGATGCTGATTCTTTTTTTTTTTAACCCCATTTTCCTCTCTGCCTTGCTGATTTGGATGGTGACTGTGTAAATTATAATTTATAATATTATATTGATATAATGTAATAAGCAGTATGATATAATTGAAACAATGATATAATTTATATAATGATATGCCTATAATTGATGCGATGACATAATTATCTTTTAGTCTTATGTTTCTTTTAACTTTTCTCTATTTATGAAGTAAAATCCTAAAAATTGCATGTAAGCATAACAACTTTTTTGCCTTATGGTTTGGGTGTATGGTAGTGAGTGGTCACATTTAAAAAGCATTTTCAAATTCTAAATTTATAAAAATATTGCCTTATAGGTTTTATTCTAACAGGTTTAAGATAAAAGCTTTACAGTTTTATTTTTTGCTTATAGTCTTAAAATCATCTTAACTCTATTTTTATATATAGTGCAAGAGAGAAAGATGCCCAATTCAATTTATCTTCATATAATGAAGTCATTTTACCAATATCACAATCTAAATTACAGGTTCTTTGGTAGTGGTGCCACCTTTATCATATCTTAAGTTTTCACAGCATGGGTATATTTTTCATATATTTTCTGTTTCACAGATTTGCCTATTATTAAATTAGTGTCATATTGATTTAATTGCTTTAGCATTGCAAATGTTAAAATATCATATGGTAACTTCCTTGCCCACCCATCTTGTCACCTTTATTGTGCCTAATCTCTGCCCAAATTGATTTAGCCATTTAGAACTTTATACTTACGTATAAATTCTGATTGGGTTTATGAGGGTTCTGCAGATCAGGTGGAGAAAACTGGACATGAAATATTGGTGAACCTGCAATATCAATATCTTTTATGTACTTGAGTAGAATTTTAAAAGATTCTTCATAAAGGTGATATGTCATTAGGTTGCTTCCTAGATACATACACAAATATATAAACTATATACATACTTATGAATTCATATGTATATACTCTGAGAAAAAGTTTCTCTATTCACAGAGAAGCCTTCTGACACCAGACTCTGTTTTTTTCCCCACAATCATCAATTTTCTGGCACCACCAAGGTGTCCTACAGTTCATTTCAGTTCTGACAATATCAACCAAGAGTTAGCATCAGATCCCAAGAGTTAAAGGGCTCAGTTCCCCCAGACTTCTATTATTTTTATGAGCATGGAAAATCTGAGGCTCTCAGCCTTTTGACTGACTAGTGATAGGCTGGAGATTCCCATAAACTTTCTTCAGGTTAGAAGACTTACTATAATGGCTTATAGAACTCAGGGAAGCACTTTTATTACATTTACTGGTTTATTATGAAGGAAACTTTTCAACCCCAAGGCTACAAAAACCCCCACATACTGTTTACCAATCTCACAGAAAGAACTTGGAGGATTGAGAAGCGAAGATTCAGACAATTTATTACTTACTCCTTTGGCAGCAGCAGACTTGGAAACAATGAAGGTCTACCCCGTGTTGACAAGAATGGGGAATATATAGAATGGTAACATGCCCGCTGGGTAGACAGAGTTTTTCAGATCTTTTATTAGCATAATCTTTTACTTTACAACCAAGGTCACTCTGCTTTGATCCCTACCTAAAGATTGGAAATAAGGAAAGTGGTTGGTTTTCCTTCTCCTCTTCCTTCATTATCATATTCCTTAGAGTTTTTCTATCTTACAACCAGGAACAAGTCTTCCAGGTACCAATTAGTGTTTACCCCAACATTCCATCCCTTCAGTGCTTTGGAAGCCCCTTAATGAGACCTACTGCCTCCCATCCTCTGCAAAGCCCTCAGGACAGGGATCTGGAAGCATGTTGTTTCTATATCCTACAGCAGCAGTACAAGAAGCAAGAGCCTGTCAGCAATTATGCTAAGGTTATTAAGAGAACATAAAAGATACAGCGCCATGTCAAAGGAAAGGAAGTTAAACAGAGAATGGGTCAACTGAAAGACATCAAGGCATCATTTTTTTTTTTTTAGACACTAGGGTAAAGTATGGGCAATACTGTGTTCATTACCAGGTATATATCCTCAGCATTCTGTCTCCAAGACTGCACATACTCCAGCTTGGGCAGCCATTAGCCTAACTAGTGTCATCCTATTTTATAAAACTACCTTTTTTAAAAAATCTGAGTGTTGTCCTCAGTTATCAAGGATATGGCATGTTTAGTCTGACTGACAATTTGGACAGTGTGGGAGGGTAAAGCTGAGACTTGAGTGTTTCCACCATCATTGCAGCTTATGGAGAAAGAATAGCTAATGGATAGAACCACCAGGAGGCACAGCATAGCACTGTCTTGTGTGAAGTACCTTGATGTTATTATCCCCATCACTATTATACATATTAAAAGAGGCAGAACTAGGGCTGGGCTATAAGGCCATCCCCATGTACACCATCCTGTCCAATTGTAAGATAGGCAAGGTCATCCACAGACCCACGTATCCATAGTGCACCCCATGGCAGGGAGAAAGCCTGTGAGTAACATAGGTTGAGGATATCTGCTGAATTCACTGTTTTTACCCAGAGTCAGGTTATCAGGAACCTATTGGGTGACAAAATGGAATACTGTCTTTTTAACTATAACCTGAATTGCTATATCCCATGAAAGCTCATTCCATACATAAGTGTGCCCAGGTACTTGAGAAGTATTCAGTGTCTCTCTAATTAAAGCAAAACCCTTGGTTTAGTATAATTATGTGATGGCCATTTTGTGAGTATTTTCAGTGCAGTTATTTCAACCAAGTCCATTATATCTCATTTGTAAGTTATACTACCCAGGGAAGTCCTTGTGTTGCTGGTCACAGGGAGTTCTGAGCATTCTAATAGTCTGTTTGGAGTAATATGCAATATATGTTGCCCAGTCCAGGAAAACTTGTTGTTAACCTATGGCAAATATGACTAGTATTTAATAGGCACCAAAAATGGCAACATAGCTCCATGAGGCAGAATACAGGCCACTGTACCATAATGTGTTAGTTAAGTAACCAGCACAATAGGCTTGCCTGGGCAAGTACACCAAACCAATCTATTTGCACTTTGGGGGCATAGAAAGAAATATATCTCTGAAATACATAACTGCCATAACTGATACAAAGTGTTCCTCAAGTGATGACTCCTGAGGGTAATACCCACTGTACTTGTGAGGGCCAAGGTTCCCATCACAATAGGCTTTACTTTAAATTTAGATATTCTCTCTCTCCACAAGGTGTCAGTAGAGTGAACCACTGGGTCCCTACTTGTATAGTCCATGACCAACTAATGCTTCCTGTCTCATATGTGATGTGTTGAGGATTTGGCAATTGTAAGTTGTTGCTCATGCCCCAGAAAAGTTTAAGAATATGTTCAGTAGATGTGTCCTTTATTTGCAATATTAATGCTGGCAGCCACAAGGTGTGTGAACATAAGAAATGACTGCAGGCCCCTGATGTCTGGGTTTTTCATTTAATGTCCTCAGTGACTCAGGCACATGAATATTCCACCCCACGTAGAGTTATTTTTGATCTTTGTTTTAGTCAGATTTTTGGTCAAAAGACTTGACCAGAACAATTAGTGGAAGAAAAGTTTATTTCAGAGGTCTCAGTTCATAGTTGGCGGACTCCATTGCTCTAGGCCAAAGTGAGACGGAACATCATGGCAAAAGTGTATGGAGGAGAAAAGCAACTCAGACATGGTAATCAGCAAGCAGACATCTCCACTCCTGGGACAAAAATATAAACTCCAAAGGTATGCCCTCAGTGACCTGTCTCCTCTAGCCATACCCTATCTGCCAAAGTTACCACCCAGTTAATCCATTCAAGTGCATTAATGCACTAATTAGGTTAACCCAATTATTTCACCTCTAACTTTTTTGCATTATCTCTCACATGAATTTTGGAGGACACC